TGCTCTTTAAGTGTCCAAAAGTACATTTTTTGGACAGAAAAATGTTCTCTCCCCTTAGATTTTTTGTTTTGTCCTCTCGAAAGAGGCCTTCGTAACCAGTTCGAACGTCCCGCGATCACCATTTTGATCGGCGCGCAAGGCTCTCTGGGGTGATGACGTAAAATGGTTGCTCGATCCCCTTGCACTCGGTAAAATTGGTAGCAAAATGCCGCATTGCGTTGCTTTTGAGTTTAGTATTCAAGCTAAAAACAGGAAAGGGGTAAGACTCTTCAAAGCAATGCTGTTCGAAGTGCTTCAAACATAGACGTGAGTCTTTGGGCAAAGATGTCCTTCCAACAGCATGAATCCAAGCTCGTCGAATCGCTGCATCATTCGGAAAATTGTGCAAACGAATTTTGGGATCGTTTTTCCTGTTTTTACCTTGAATACTACTCTCAAAAGCAACGCAAAGCGGCATTTTGCTACCAATTTTACCGAGGGCAAGGGAGTCGAGCAACCATTTTACGTCATCACCCCAAAAAGCCTTGCGCGCCGATCAAAATGGCGATCGCGGGACGTTCGAACTGATCATGAAGGCCTCTTTTGAGAGGCCAAAACAAAAAATCTAAGGGGAGAGAACATTTTCCTGTCCAAAAAATCTACTTTTGGACCCTTAAAGAGCATTTTAAGCGAAAGTTTCGAAAACAGTGGAGGATCCCTCTAATAAGTAAAGATTTGTTAAAACATTTTACAATAAAAATCTGCGATAGAATATTGGAAAACATTACACGACGTTTCCACGTTTCCAGAACGTCATTATCAAGTGAGAATGAAATAACAAAACTAAGATGTATATAGATGAGAAAATGAATAAATTAAGAGTCATTGAGAATCAAACAAAGAGCGTTGCCTTAATGGGTCGCTCGGGGTGTTTAAATTAGGTCTTATTGTTCTTATTGTACAACATTTCGTTGACCAGGCAATCCCATTTCGTGCTGCATTTTTTAAATTGGCTCTCATTGAGTTAACTTACTCAGTACGTTACAATAGTATTTCGTGCACTTGAGGACTCTTTTTTTTTATTAGATTGTTACCTCATAATCGTGGACACGTATAGGATTTAGGATTGAATTGTTTGTTAGCACTCGCACACTTTGGGATTGTCTTTCATTAGATTGCTACATTGGCATCTCACGCAGGTTTAAACTTTTCTCCATTGGATTACTACGTTAATACCTGCCGCAATTTTAGATTTCCTTTTTATTCGACTTTTACGTTAGCATCACATGCGCCATTAGGATTCTCTTTAATTCCATGATAACGTTACTCTTTCTTGCACTCTTAGGATTTTCTTTATTTGATTGTTACGTCAGCATCTCCCGACCTTTTAGAACATTTTTTCAAATTGAATTGTGTATGTTAGTATCGCACTCGCCCGTAGGACTCTTCTTTATGCGTTAAGATCGTTATCCCTTCGCGCCCTTAGGACTATATTTCATCAGATTCGAACCTTTTTTTTCCTACGCTCACTTTCGGGGTTCCATTGGGGTCAAGTTTGTTGTTTACAAACCAAAATGTCAAATTCTATCACACACACGAAGTAGGCTCGCATACCCTATGAATTTCTAATATTTGCAGAACGGTCAATTGAAGAAATTGGTCTAACCCAACAAAACTTCGCCAGCTAGATTAGGTTGAAATCACAGCTTGCCTAATAAAACGCCTTGATACGTCCCCGGGGAAGTGGAGGGGGCCCGGGAGGGGCTCCTAATTTCTCGGGCTTCCAGGAGATTGGAAAGAAAGGGGCTCAATTAAAAACCCTGGGAGCTAAATGCGTGTACTTCCTTTACCTCTGACCTGTCGTCTAACAAGAAAGAACACTGAACAATGCTAAATACTGTATGCATCTCTTTGGCTGAAAACGTACGATATTTGCTCGGAGACTACTACAGGCTTTTGATTCAAGCACACTTTGTAACGAAACGCAACCTATCCCAAAGGTGTGACAATTAGAGATTTTGTTCGGGAATGGGTGTAAGTGCATGTAATTTTTTGTGATGAACTGGAAATTATTGTCCAAAATTTTTCATGGTAGTGTTTCCTTACTCGGGACTGGTTAGCTCAAATGACCACCAAAAACTGCATGATATCAAGCCAAGCTTTAATAATTATTTATTTAAAAGAAATACATTTATAATCTGCAGTCAGAGCAAACACAAATCAAGGCTTTATCTTGTAGCTAAATTCAGACACCTTCATTGTCAACTTACTTTTGTGGCAGGTCGTTACAACACTTAGCAGACTCTTCAGCTAAGCGGATTTATGAACAGACTATATGAAATGACTTCTTTCTCTTTCGAACCTTCTGAAAAACTGTTTTGAAACATATCAACTTAGTGATTTTAAATCAATGTAGAGAATTAGTGTCAACCACGATTCTTGTCATCAAATAAATCTGTCCTTAAGAGGCAACGCCTATTTCATAAACGAAACTGCTAGGACAACTGTGATTGGACTAAGAAATAATAAAGAACTCACAGCTGGAATGAAATTAAGCCCACAATTAGATCCTTGCCTTTCTCAGCATCTCTTCGAAACTTTTCACGGCCCGGCAAAGATAAAATAAAGGTAAACTATATTCACTGTCTGGGTGTTAATTTTCTTTCTTCTGTTGTACTATCATCTCACTCCTAAAGTCAGTAATTCTTAAAGAACTACAACCTGTTAGTCTCAAGCCTCAAAGCATGATGAAAACCTATCTGTTGGTACCAACAAGTTTAGGTTTTAATCCAACAATGTTAAAATAAATGGAATCTGTGCGATGTATCCAAAAAAGCATTGGCCCTAATGAAATAAATAAGTTAATGACATTCATAATATGAGGAATGTTTGCCGATGACACCAATCTTACGATATCTGCTAAGATATTAACAGAGCTTGAGGTAGCTCTAACCCCTGAATTGAATAACCTTAGCCGTTGGCTCAGAGCTAACAAGCTCAGTCTAAATGTTGCTAAAACAGAGTTAATGATTATTGGATCAAGACAAAGACTATCTGCCCAATGTAACGACTTAGAAATCAGAATTGATGACCAAATTATAAAGAGAGTCGACAAGACCAAATCTTTGGGTCTTACTATAGATGCCCAACTCTCTTGGGGTAGCCACATTGAAGAGATTTGCGAGAAAGTCTCTTCAGCTATAGGCGCCCTAAAACGTGTACGGCCCTTTATATCCAAAGAAACTGCAATTCAAATTTATAACGCTTTGATTATGCCCCATTTTGATTACTGCAGCCCCGTCTGGGACTGTTTAAGTGGCTACTTGAGCGATAAGCTCCAAAAATTACAGAATCGAGCAGCCAGAATTATTACTAAATTACCCTTTGATACGAGCTTAAACCACCTTCTCTCCACCCTCGATTGGGAGAGGCTATCTCTTCGACGAGAGAAACAAAAAGCCATAATGATGTATAAAATTATAAACAACCTTGCTCCCGAATATCTGCAAAGTCTTTTCTCTCAGCATCACTCTGTGTACGACACAAGAAACTCTGAGGGAAGGCTGGCCTTGTCCAAACCAAACACCAATTATTTGAAACGAAGCTTCTCTTACAGCGGGGCCATGTTATGGAATAAATTGCCCAAAAACTTAAAGAATGCTTCATCCATTAACCATTTTAGGCGAAATCTTAACGTAGTCGATATATAGGATTCCCACACGGCAATCATGTAAAGCAGTTGATTAATCTTAGTTTTTATTATGTAACTGATGATTTTCCGTGTTTAAATAAAGATTTACATACATACATACATACATACATACATAC